TGGGTATCTTCCAGATCTTCTATGATACCAACATCCCACTGAAGCTGGGACACTGGGCATTCACCGAGATGATGCATAGCAACTGAGAATTCACAAAATGCCAGACCCCTCCCAAAAATATCTCTGAGGGAAAGCTGAAGATTTTATGCCCACTACAGGCACCTTGGAAGCGAGGATCCCTCTCAGTTAAATTACTTGCTGTGCTGTGTTAGGAGTTGGCTAAAAGTTTTTAGAGAATTGTAAAACGCTGCACTAGGGGAGGGACATGTCTCATGCCTTGCTCAAAATCTCTGTTCTGGGAGAAAGGTGGGAACTACTACTCTTGCCTCAGCCCCCCTGTAACCCTAGACTAGGTATCCTGCAGTGATGAAATCTAAAATACCACAATGCAGAGCAACTTTATGATGTTCTCACACCATCTTAAGAGTACCACATAGTGAAAGGGTGATGAAAGGACCAATATCATAAATCAGGCATTTTAAGGTCCATCTAGCGCAGTAATTTTATTTCTTAGAATAGCTCTATGGACCATTTATAGAAGGGCATCATCCTCTGATTTTATTGTGAAAATAATTTCAAAAGTAGAGAGATGCCTGTGAAAATTACCTATCAGCTAACAATGTACGAATCAACACCTTCCTTGAATCTTGAGATAAAACCATGAAAAGCATGAATATCCAACTGGAATTTTAAACCACAGAGAAAAAGCAATCTAGGGGCTGAGTAAATAGAAGAGTACACTTGAGCACTGGATATAAATTAGAATATTATTCCAGTAAATGAGTCCTGATAAATGGCATCATGAAGAAGAGGATGTCTTGTCTAGAATCCTATTGTGGGGTTTTGCATATGGTGTAGTTTCCTCTGCTGCTTCCTTATGAGTAAAGAAAGTCAGGGGTCAAAACCACAGGAGGGAGGGCAGAGGGGAAACAGCAAGAGCTGGGAAAGCAGCACGCCTCACATCAGGAGGCACTGTCTGTAGGATTACTGCCTTTGGGATACCAAGCTGCTGTTATACCCTCAAGAATCAAAATTTGCTTCCAACATATAAAATAGTTAAAAGAAAGAATATAGGTTTGTGTTTAACAAAAGTAGCCAGAACTTTAGTCAGTACATCTGAGTTGGTATGAAAATTTACACACACACACACACACACACACACACACACACACACACACACACACAGAGTGCTGAAACACACTAGGGCTGAAAATAAGATGGAACCCAAACTCAGGCCAAGAAGAGACAGCTGAAGCTAAGGGAAAACAAGGGTCTGAGTAGTTGATAACTGGGCCTTTCACTTTCCGAAGAACTATAATTCCTGAGTCAGTAAGACGTACATGGCCCCAGCAGAGACAAACATAAGAGTGGTCTGCAGAGGTGGTCTCACTACCAGGTCTCAGTTCAAAAGGAGCATGCAACTCATAAAGGAAACCTTTAAAGTTTTTGATTTCCTTAATCATTTAAAGCTAGAAACTACAAGTAATATTAAAAAGCAAATGATCAGTAGAACAAAATATTTGCAAGTTATATAACTGATTAAAACAATAGCATCTAGGAAATATAAGGTGCACCTATAGATTAATAGGCAAATATAAAAATAGATTAAAAGTATGAATAAGAAATCTATAGAGGAAAAAACTACAGTAAACATGAAATTTTTTTCAGTCACAAAAGTAACTGTGGGAATACGAATTAAAACACTTAATGAGGT